GGTTAGTCAACTCAGCTTTGAGTGAGGCAATCGCACCATCTTTTTCTAGCAGAGCACATCGCATAGAAATAAGATCAGAATGCAAGTTATCAATTTTCGACACAAGTTTGTTGTTTTCCTCGCGCTGCGCTGTGATAGAGTTGAACATTCGGTTATTATCGGCTCGAAGAGAGATAATAATATTATACAACGATCCCAATGTTATTGGTTGTTGTTGGTTTTTGGCTTCATTTGGAGTATTAACAGACTGTTTGAGCGATACTGCCGATTTTAAATTAGCACTTTTTACAGAGTCGGATTTAGCTACGATATTAGGCGAAGCACTTTGCTCTTCGTCCAAAGCGGTTGGAGGCGGGGGAGATGAACGGAATGACTGTCGACGAATGTCCGCGCAGACTTTGCATAAAAAGCCCTTATCAGAGCTGGCGAGAAATTCAGCATCAGCTTGCTTTATACCCACGCAAGCCAAATGAAAGAGTTCATTGCACCTAACGCACTGAATCGTTTGCCGAGACCGACCAACCTTTTGGTTACATATGCAAGGCATTTTAGACTAAAGCACAGAAAAATGATTATTATGTTATCACTTTATCTTATGCTTATTATTACAAAGAGTCACTGTCTCAGATCGATGTAGAGTTCACATTCGCACAAATGTACCACATTTAAGATAGAAATAGTCACTCTCACACAAAGATTTATTTTATTATTCGATATGATTGACGAGCAAAGAAAAATACGTCCGCACAGCACGAAGACTGATTTGCAATGCATGTACGAATAACTGAAGCCGCGCTACAGCTCCTTTTCATTTTGGCCAAGGCCATCACGACTGCCCTCGTCCAGTAGAATATTCAATTAGCTTAGGTTAGGTTTGAACGGCTAGAGAGAGTGGTTCCCTCCACACTTAGGCCAAAAGATGCTCCAACGCTCACTCGCGATCAAACCATTTCATTAGTGTAATAAAATTTGGTAATGCTGATATGTTGATTTTCGCTATCTCTGCAAGGGTTTTTAGAGATGGTGTTCCCAGCGTATGTAGTCGCCTTCTGTTAAGCGCTGGGCAGTGACAGATAAGGTGCTGTATACTTTTGTCTCCTTCTCATCTACAACTACCACATTAGTCCGCGACGTCCACTCACAAGGGGTCCACGTAAGCCTCGCGGTTTCGCAGAAGGGGAGGTGAATTTGCTGCTTGTATGGTGCTGTTCCTAAGATGTAGTTTAAAGATGGTCATTGGTATACCTACCGAGTCCTTTCCCCGAAAGATCGGGGCGATCGTACCATTCCTGGAGAATTCGTCGGCTTTGCAGCCATGCTCAATATCTCGGTGTCCAGACACCCATATGAGTTATATTCTATAATTCTGGGCCATTTCGTTTAGAGATCTGCGGCATTCTGTGTGTTTGTTTTTCGCTTGTTTGCACTCGAAAATGATCACTTTCACAATCTGAAGCTGTATTAATTAGAACAAGTAAAGAAGTATAAGTTTGGGCAAAACCGAACTTCATATACCCGGCGCACGTATTAAATATCGTTTTTTCACCTTTCAGTAAACTGCATGATAAGGAAGGGTATTTTTCCCAATGTCAAACAGTTTCAATAATATGCTATGATCGATTGAAATAATTGGACCAAATTTGGTGGAAATCAGTAAAGCGGTTATCGATATATACATACTTCTATAGTCATAAGTGGGTGGTGCCAAGCCCATTTAACAAAATTCAATAATCTTGTGTCTTGTTAAATGATTGTTGTAAGTTGGCATCTTTAATTAATGAAAGATCGGAGTTTTCGCATTTCTGAAATTTACCGTTATGTGGTAAGTGGCAGTAATTGTAGTCCTATTTCAAAAATTTTCAACATATTGATTTTCTGCGCCAAGGTTGTTAAATGTGCCGAGTTTGGTAGAAATAGATAAACCGGGTACCGAGATGTACACATGTAGGTGTAAGTGGGCGGTGCCGCTCCCATTTTCCAAAAATTGCCCTAAAAATCTTTTTCTACTATGAAGTCATTGCATATATCAATTTTGAGTAAATTAGCTGAAATACTTACTAATTTATCGCAGTTTTCTTATTTCTGTAAATTACCGTTATATGGGAGGTGGGCGTGTTTCTTGTCTGATTTCAAAAAATTTAAACGAGTTTCTTAGTGAGGCCCTAAGCATTGTTCTTGTTTGGTAGGGATTGGTAAAGGGACTACAGAGATACAACATTTAATCATAAGTGGGCGGGGTCGCGCCCATTTTCCCAAAATTTTATACTGTCCTATTTTATGCCAAAATTCTACTTCAAATACCAACTTTCAACAATATGGATCCAGTATTTGAGGAAATATCTTAGTTTTTGCATATTTCGAAAATACCGTTATATGGGAGGTGGTTATTACCTCAGAATCTACATTGCCTTCAAACTTAAGGCATGGCGGATGAGAATTTAGACAAGACTAAATTTGGTATAATATTGTATTAAATCCCTCGTATGTAAAAAACGCATTAGCCAAAACACGTTTCAAATGACGTTTGACGCCTGCCTTTCAAATTCCAGCAAGGTGTGGCCCAGCTAGTGAAGAAATGTGCCACTATAGTTGTTGCTGACTAAGTTCCTTCTATATGCCTTCTTGGTCAGATGATGATTCAAAAACTGATACAATTCGCGCAATGTCTGATTGGAACCCTCATTTGTGCCATTATCTGAATAAATCGGTGCTGGATTTTTCTCTCTAAGCTACAAAGCGGCGAAGTAAAGCGATGAATTCTGCTGAAGAAAGTTCGCTCACTAAACAAATGAAAAATGATATCCAACATTTGTGTATTTTTGAACCTCTTCCTTTTCAACTACGCACTTGAAATAGCCTAGCGAAATCGATGCCTGTATTAAGGAATGCAGGCCAGGCAGGATGCTTTAGTAGATTACCCATTTGATGCTAGTATGGTTTACTACGAAATCGCATGCAAGTTAAGTCTCAGTGAGCGAGGTTAGTGAAAAAATTAAAGTTGCGGTGAACCAACCGTTCACCGAAGACCAAATTAAAACCACGATTCACAACGTTATAAAAGTAATTTTATTGTGTGCTAATGCACCACCAATTTATGCTATAAAAGTAAACTCATTGTGAGCTCAATGCACCACTAAATTAGGGTTGCCAGATTTTTTAGGCGCGAAACCAGTACGTTAGACTTTTTCATGCTAAAAAATCAGTACTTTTCAGGACATTTTTGTTCAAAGCAAAATTATGAATGTAAGTTACAGATAATACTTTAAAACGCCAGAGTACTTGTTTTTAATAATATTTTGGTATATAAATAAAATATAGTTCATAAAAAATAAAAGTGTTATTCATTTT